CATTTTGCTGAATATTTTTTCCTTAGTTCTTGTGAGAAATTATTTTAATAGCCATCAAACAAAAATATAGACTAGTATCTGACACTGGTCTATTCCTTTTTGCTAAATTCAGTATTGAAAATAAGAATTATTTCCCACACTTTGTGGGAATTGACCTGTCAAAAACTTTAGGGAGTTCATTCTCATCAGCATTTTCCAATGCTGACTCAATCCTATGTTAAGGATGCTATGTCCTTTTCCCCAGAACAATCACTGTTTTACTGCCTTTGTTTCACCTGCATTGTCAACAAACATTCTTTCTCATTGCAGTCAACATAGGATCATTTTTTACAATCGTACCAAGAATAGAACATATTTTTGTGCACATTTTGCAGCTGAAAAAAAATCATTTTGCACTTCTTCTCCAGGTTCTGATTCCTGAAATATTTAACCTTATTTTGATATCCAGAAATCAGGCAATAAATACAGCATCATACAATGTTTCATAAACAGTAGCACAGGTCTCCTAATTATTTTTAGTGTTTGTTTCTTTAGATTTTATTCCCCTGTTTTTTTGTATCTTTGTCTTTTCAGCTTCTCTTAACAAATATCTCTAAGATGAGCTGTGCTGAATGTTTTGTGCTTTATTGAAATGCCATATTTCATTTCAAAACTCTTTTTTTAAAAAAAACATCCATGTGATTTGGCTGAACAAGCAATGAACTTTATGGTAAATCACTAGCACAGTAACAGGAGGTTTTTGCAAAAAAATTACCTCTACCTCTGCTTTTGCTACAGGGATGAAAAGAGATCTCTGAGATATGTGATGTGATGTGATGTTGTTATCATTTTTGTTCTTCTCAGGAATCTTGAGTTTCTCTTGATCAATTGAGATCTTTCTAGAGGTGGGTTTTGAAATGCCATGCTAATGTTTCTCAATACTGTGGGGACAAGGATGACTCAGACTCACATCAGGTGTTAACAGAGAGGAGAATAAACATTTAACAAAAGCCAGGGATAACGTTTTCTTCAGTCTCCTACAAAATGATAAAAAATATAATAAGATGTACCTTTGGGGGGGGGGGGAGAACAGCCAGTTATGTTTAGACTAACTGGCAATGAAAAAAATGACTGTATTAACAGCAAAAATCTAAACTGAAATGAAGCAGGAGACCATCTATGTCAAAATTGAACAGCCCTGTTCTGTATTGCTACATTAGCATTCTTGTAACCCCTCGTCCTGATTGGCCAGGACTCACGGCACTCGGATTGGCTGAGTGAGCCCCAGCGATTGGCCCATTGCAAATCGCCCACGATTGGAGGAAACTGATCATGGGGGATTCGAAACGGTGTCATTGGCCGCGGCTGGCAAGGCAAGTTCAATATAAGCCACCACCGATCCGAGGGAGAGCTGAGCCGATCTCAGAACTCAATAAAGAGCTTTAAAAGAGTCACTGAGTCTCGCGTCTCCTTCTTGCGATCGGCGAATATGACACTGGCGATGAGGATGGGATCACGGAACTGATACCCTGAGCATGCGGCACCCAGACGAAAGCAGCCGATGAGATGGCCAGCAACATCGTGCCACCCGCACCCTTTAACCAGGCTACTGAGGACTGGGAAAAAGCCCTCTCTCAACAGAGGAATAGAGAGATGACAGCATCTATCTCCAGTCTATAACACAGTCATTTCAGAAGTTCCAAGAAAGCTCCACCCCATTGCACTCTCAGGTGACCCTGATGATACAGATAAACATCCAAATGGCCTCAAGGACTCTCTAAAAGAATGCAAATGATCAGCTGCTTGCAAGGAATATAAATCCTTCCATTTCCCACCACCCAGTCAGAGCTGAAGAGGCTTTTGGATGTGAAGCTAAATGTCTTCAAAGAAAAACAGGAAAGTCCAGTTCCCTCTTGAAAAAACATATTTGGGTTTGGTTGTTAGATTTGTATACCATCAGTCTTGTGTAAGACAACTTTACCTTTCTCATAATAACCAGGATTCTCTACTTTATGCAGTTCGTTATCGTTTATGTGAAAAATATAACCAGGGAACCAAAACAAACTATTTTTAAAAATTAAGGTCAATTAAAGAACAAAGAAAAATATAACTTGAAAGCTTATCTGGAAATGCAGCAGGACGGTGGTAGCACAGGTGTGGCCCTTGCTTGCCCCTTTATCTCTCCTCCCAGCACCCATATATTTCTCTGGTTAGCATATGAGCAGCATAAACAGGCTGGGTTCACCAATTATACCAGGCCATCACATAGCTTATAGGACTTTGTTTGCAACTATATTTCTTTAGCAAGTTATAGTTAAACAAGCAATTGTTTTTCACACTATGTGAATCCTATCAGACTGAGAAATAACTCAGTGATTGTTATTTGATCGGTGCAGGTTAATTGAGGTATAGAGGTATCCACAGAGGTTAAAAAGAAAGTCAAGATGGTGTCTGCACAATTACACCCCTGATCCTTTTAAAAGAAGAGATGGATATGTATATATAAAGGTTCTATGTGATTTTTTTTACTCCTGCCCCCTGCAGATCTCTATCCTTGATTATAACTTTGCTTTGGTATGATTGTAAATCTTGAGCTGTTCTATCGCTAATAAGTCATGCAGTCTAGTTTATTAGTGCTTTTCTTCCCTTATTGAACAGCTTCCTTATAGTACCTGAACCTATTTGAAAAACTTTTTTATCTTTAAAAACTAGGCAGTCTCAAGATGTTATAAAAAGGTACCCAAGCATAATAATATTAAGTGCATTTTTATGCTGGTAATAGTGCCAGAAATGGTTACTTTAAAGTTTATAGAAGTATCCTGATATAAGAATCTTTTCCCCATTGTATTAATTTCCCATTTATTCATTCACAAGTGTCTCATTTCTGCATTTATGTTTTTTTTAAAAACAGCATACTACGTAAAAGGGAATTTAAGTGTTTATTTTTGAATGCATTTTCTTGAAAAACAAACAAGTTGGTGTTTCTGTTCAATGTATCAGTTCCAAAATATCCACTTGCAAGTGCAATATATCTTATTTTAAGAATTATTTGATTGTAATTGTAGCCTAGACTATATAAGCATAACATGATTTTATCTTTCCTGCAGCCCAAGAAGTCGTTGGTAATGGTTGACTGGGCATAATTCTTTTTCTTTAGTCTCTTCTAGCTCCACCAGCACCCATATGTTGCTTTTCGCAATCTCTTTATTTTTAAAAATTGGGGTGCTATTTTTTATCCTTCTGGCTGAATGGTGTCCAGGAAATTGATAGCTTTTCCTCCCTACTCCACAACTAGGCAAAATTGTGTGTGTGTGTGTGTGTGTGTGTATGATTGTGTAAGATTCCATATCAGAAAATTAAATATCTTTCAGATTAATAGACATCCATCCATCCATCCATTCATTCACACCTGACTCTGAAAAAAAGGCTGAGTGGGATTTAAATGTAATAAATACCTGGATGGAAGACCATCGTGAAATCCTATCATGGTAATCACTACATTAAGGAATTGAAATACTTCTTTATACGTTGACTTCATATTACTTCAGTATACATTGACTTAACTTACACATTGCTCTCAAGGAAGCTACTGAGATATGTTCATGCAATCACAGGTACTGAACTTGACTAGAACAAAGTAAACCATTAAAAGTCTCTCTCTTTCCCCCAAAAGCATATAAATAATTTACCATTAACATGTGTGGGTTATGGCTCAAGTATTATTTATATCAGGAGCTCAAATTCAGTAAGAATGTATGCCAGATAATCTTATATAACATAATTGCTCTTAACTTAGAAGGTACCTCATAGAAGCTGGAATTTTGCCCAGAACCAAGACAAAGTGAATACAATTCAAAATTCAAAATTGATCTTATGTAACACAATTCATTTGAAGCCTCTGTAGCATTAAAACAAAATAAGATGCCAAACTATCAAAGTGGACTTTTTATACTGATCTACTAAACCATATCTTCCATTTAATTCAGTGGGCTTATGATTAAATATATGAATACAGCAAAAACAGTTCTTGATCTCTTTAACTTTCAGAAGGGGAGTGGTTTCTTCCCCCACTTTGAATTCAGAAATAGGATGAGAGTCTATTCTTAAAGAAAACAGCTGCAGTCTTTCAATGTTTTTCCATAGCAACTGCCCAGCATTGACTGAACAGAATTTCACTGCCTGTTAGAATAAATGTTCAGATTTCAAGAAATCAGTTTCACATTTGTTTGTTAAAGTGAGTCATTTTGTAGCATCTTGAAGGTTGTACTAAATTGATTAAAATCAGGAGCTGCCTAAAATATGAGACTGAAATACATAAAATCCAAATATTCTAAAGTGTATTAGAGAAGAATACCTTTATTTATTTATTTGCTTTCAGCACTACTGAATTTTAAAATGAATTTAGGTTTATGTTTATTTTTATTTATCTGATTTGCCAATCACTTACAAGGTAATAGGTATAAAAATAAACATGCGTATGAATAGAGGAAATAGGTACAAATAAATGGGGACAATAAGACAGGGACAATAGGCATGATTGTGCACTTATGCATGCCCCTTACAGACCTCTTAGGAGTGGGGTGAGGTCAATAGTAGATAGTTTAAGGTTAAAGGAGTGGGGGTTTGAAAATGTAACAACAGAGTCAGGTAGTGTTCTGACCCAGGCTTCTTCAAGCATAATTAAACACAAACTTGTTTTAAAAGCAAAACCTATTTTATTGCAATGCTGGGAATTGCTTTCATTCCCAGTCAGAACTAATCAGTTCCCCAAGATAAGTACATGCCTTTCAGTGCTGTGGAATGTTGCCAAAAACAGAAGTATCCAATTATTATAACAGAAACCAACCCCAAGCTCACTGGGAACAGGCTCCTCTGGGTCCTCTGCTTCATTGTTGCCCAACTCTGAAGGCAGCACTCCACTCCCAGATGGTTCTGGACCCATCCCTGCATCGGACGCAGGACCCTCGTCCAAGTTCTCTCTAGACTCCCTGACTGGTCCCCTTTCTTCCTCGCTGTCCGACTACTCTGCCGTCTTCACCGGCTGCTGTCAAACCATAACAGGTAGTGCATTCCAGGCATTGACCACTCTGTTGCTGAAGTTGTACTTACTGCAATCAAGTTTGGAGCAGTTTACATTGAGATTGTATTTGTTGTGTGCTCTTGTATTGTTGCGGTTGAAGCTGAAGTAATCATTGACTAGTAGGACATTGTAACAGATAATTTTGTGTACCATGCTGAGGTCCAGTGGTATGTGGTGTAGTTCTAGGTTGTCCAAGGCCAAAATTTCAAGTCTGGTTGTTCTGTCTAATCTCTCTTTCCCTCCCTCCCTCCCTCCCTTCCTTCTCTCCCTCTCTCTCTCTGTCTCTCTCTCTCTCTCTCTGCACATGTGTATACACACTACTCATGAAACTCACACACATGGTAAAAGTTGAGCACACACCAAATTGTTATCACAAAATAATAATGTAAATGCCATAACAACTGTAGAACAACAAGTTGCAACTCACAAGGAGTGCTGTCTTGGTTTTAACTGCAGCAGTAAGGTCATCGGTAGGCTTTGGTAGAGGTACCTTTTATTTGGAACAGTAGAGAGGTGATCCTTTCCTAGTCTTGCAGGTGGAACTGAGTTGTTCTGGATCAGACCCAAGATCAGACCCAGACTCTACCCCAAAAGTTTAATTAATACCAGTTGAGTTTCAGGCCATACAACAGATATGATCATTATTAACTTTATAAAAGTTACATTTTAATTAATAATTAATGTTTAAATAAATTCAGAACATTTATATCCCACCTTTATTATCATTTTTACAAATTATTCAAGGCAAAAAACATATCCAACACACATTCCTCCTCCTATTTGCCCCACAGCAACAACTCTGTGAAGCGGGTTGGACTGAGAGTGTGTGATGGCCGAAGGACACCTTGCTGGAAAGCATGGGAGTGGGAATGAGAGGGGCTGTCTTAATGTTTTTGTATAATCCTTTTCTTTCTAAATGTTTCTCTAATTACTATTTTTTTTAAAAGAAAAAAGAAAAAATGAACAATAATTATCAATTTTCAGTGACTAGTGAGTTTATATTATAATCTTTAAAAGTGCACATACAGAGGCAGTTTGGTGTTGTGGATAAGGCATCAGGCTAGAAATCTGGAGACCATGAGCTCATAACTCTACCTCAGTTAACTTTAAGCTCAGTTCTTCTTTCTCAACCTCAGGAAGAAGGTAAATAGCAATTGCCGGGGAACCAAAAATGGGGCAATTGCCAGGAGCCAAAAATGACTTGAAGGCAAAACTTGTAGGCATGTTTCTGACAAAGCAGTATATTTTATAGCTCCTATAAATATGGAATATGAACAGATTTTAACACATTGTTATTACTTGTACTTGCAATTTACTGATGTATTGTGGTGCACCAGGTTTTTTTTGAGGTGGCTTTTTTTTACACAGCATGTCTGAAATTAGAGCGAACATTGCTTTGAGTGGCTTACATTGTTAGCTTTAGGATTCAAAGTTTTCTCCCATCAGGTTTCAGAAGGTAAAATTGAAATCTTAGCAACACTGAAATCTATTTTAACGGCACTCAGTACAACAATACTGTAAATTCTTTGAAAATGAAAACTGTAGTGAAGAAGGTGTTTGAATGGGAATTTTCTGCTCCTTTGATTTGTTTCAATTAACTTGTTATATTTGATCTAGACTTTCCAATTAAAGACAGAGATAGCAAGGCAAGGACAAGGACTATACTGAAACACCTCTCACTTAGCCAATTGAAATAGACAAGACAAGCTTTCAAAAATGTTATTGAAAGAGTGGATTGAAGCAGAAAGTGAAAAGAAAATAAATAGGTAGAGATTAACAATGTGAACAAAATGATGTTTTTTAATGTGATTGTTATCGAAAAACATTAGTCATCCCAACTTGCTGCTTAAATTGACCCATAAATATCAACAAGATAGGAGAAATAATTACTGCAAAAATTTCATCGGATTCTGTTACGTAACCTGATTCATAATTCTGATTACAAAATGCTATTTTCATATGTAAGGGTACATATTTCTTCTCAGTAATAACTCAACTGAGAATTCTCATTCATATTCTGCTAGCAAATTTCTTTCACAAAAACTGTGGATTGGTTCATGTTCCAGTTTCTTCCAAATGTGTATGTCATTTTTAAAGTTATTATATTTTGTTTTAAAGTGTGGATATTTATGTATTATTAGAATGTAATCACCTTTTGAGGAATCGAATGCTTTTTATGGGGGTAAAATTTCATCTGAAACCTAATCCAGTTCTTGCTTTAGTGTCTCATTCCAATATTCAAGCTATATTACATATAATGTTTCTTTGAATTATATATGACTCAATTTTTCAATTACTTTTCAACAACAACCATAAGTTTACATAAGTGGACAAACTCTCATTCTCAAGGTCATTTATTTTCCTGTGTAAAAATGCCATATAAAAAATTCTTGTTAAATGATTCTCCAACCTGAAATAGTTTTGCATAATGATTCCAAATGATTCTATGACCCCCTCAAATGATACAAGTCGTAATATTTATTGTGAAAGAAAAGGATATTATGAAAAACTCAAGGAGTAATCTTAACTGTATTTTGTTTATTCAAATAGAATTATTTGTAGTTTTGGACCTAACCTGTCTTGTTTTTTGAAAGGAAGCCTTTGGCATAACAAAGTTGTCCCTTGTTCTAAAAGGGTAAAAATAACAAAGAAAAATAATAAGGGAAAATTTACTCTCCAAATCATGTCAGTGAAATGCATCTAGAATAAGTGCAGTTGAAATTAAGCTTCTAAGGCTTACTTAACACTGCAATCTACTCTATATGCAACACAAAGAAATTTGATGACCTAATGTTATTTGATTATTCTTTCAGAAGAGTCTAATTCTGTTTCAAGAAAGGCTTGAAAAGAGCCTTTTTTCATAACTTTATCTGGAATTCAGATAAAAGTACACTTAGCAGTTAAATGTTTCCACTATTATAAGGCATTGATGGTATGTTAATCGTTTACATATTCCTGGTATTCCAAATTGTAGCCCTCCCACAGTGGACAGACTTACTCATTCAGAAAGTAATCAATCATTAATAATAAATCAAACATAAATTATTAAAGAGTGATGCTAATGAAATACACACTAAAAGCCTGCTCTTAATCTAAAGCATCCTAATAATATTTAAGTGAGAAGTATACAAAATAATATAGTACTAGTGTATTAGATAGACTGAAAGGAAAGTGAAAAGGCCAAACAGGGAGCAAGACTGGGAAAAAGAGGGAACAATAGGGAAATCACAATCAATGGGAAATTAATTGAATCCAAGGAGGATGGAAAACAAGTTCAAAGAAAGGTGAGGAAAACAACATATAGACTTTAAACCTGAGATATTTGCATTGGGAATTATACTGGAAATATACCATAAAGCATTGAAATATTTGATTGTAAATGTTTTAACAGCGGCTAGAATTGTATTTGCTAAGATTTGGAAAAATGAAAAAATACCTATGCAGGAGGAAATTATTAAGAAAATCATGGACTGTGCCAAAATGAGTAAATTAACATTTGAAATTAGAGAACAAGAAGATAAACAATTTTATATGATATGGGATTTATTTTATCAATGGTTAGATAAAAAGACATGGTAAAGAAATAGATTTGTAAGCCTTACAATAAAAGTTAAAAGATTGATATAGAATACAATATAAAATATATAACCATTGGATGAATGTATAAGATTAAACCATAATGAAATTTAGGATATCTTGTATAAAATGATGGAAAAATCATTTAGTCAAATGAATGTTTAATAATTGATATTACATAAGCACAACTAGATTGATAAGGTGAGAATTTATATAACTTGTGAGTAATGGTAAAAAAAAGGACAGCACAAAAGATTGTAACCAACTGACACATTATATGTATAGAATTGAAAGTGGGTTTTATGTTTTGTTTGTATGTTTGTTGTAAAAAATAAAAACTTTTTTTACAAAAAGAAAGGTGAGGGAAATAGGATTTCAAAAGGTGATTCTTTTTAGCACAACAGTAACTAGATATGAAGAAACCAGAACAATAAAAATAGAAACTAAAAACACTGCAAGGCTTCTTCTCAAGGCAACAAAATGAGAAGTTCAGAGCAACACTGAAACTAGAAGCTGCTTGCTAAGCAAAAGAAGGCGAGGTTTAAATATGTATCATTAATGTTTCCCATCACGGGAAGTAAAACAGGTTCAAATGACATTCACCCACACACTTTGCATAGTCACAGCTTATGAGGGACGGAGGGAGGGAGGAAGGACGGTGGCACAATGGTTAGAGTGCAGTACTGTAGGCTACTTCCGCTGACTGCCAGTTGCCTATAATTTGGCAGTTCAAATCTCACTAGACTCAAGGTTGAGTCGGCCTTCCAGCCTTTCGAGATAAAATGAGTAAAACGAGGAACCAAATAGTTGGGGGCAATATGCTGGCTCTGTAAAGAAATGGCTTAGAAAGGGCTGTAAAGCACTGTAAAGCGATATATAATTCTAAGTCCTATTGCTAGTCTCAATTTTTATGAAGATATCTGCCCTGAGCCAGAAGTATTGCTAATCCAACTATGTCTACCTGAAAAAAATAGGGGACAAAAAAAAAAAAGACAAGCACTAACAAAGCAGGATCCCAAAGAGACAAAAGGGGGAAGGAATGTTGGGCTTGATGAATGGTTTTCCTTTGCAGGTTGGACAGTTTAGTATATGGATAGAGAAAACCAAGAAATAGCAGGAATGTAACTTTGAAATTTGTAAAATCATCCTGGGAGATGGCAATAAAAATCAATTTCTATACTATATGTATATATGTAGAAGTCACAAAAAAAAATCACAAACTTAATTCAAAGGATATGTGCTTTTACAAAGTGCCATGTATTCACCTTCACAGTGTATGAACGCTGCAACCTATTTTTGGTTTATAGGACATTTAATGTAAAAGATACTTTTGACAGTGCTTTGAACATCTGGAATATTTTTTTTTTACTTTGTAAGCATTGTTTATTTCAGTATAATTTAACTCTAGAAACTCTTTGTGAAGCCAAATGCATCTGAGGAAATAAAAAACCTATTCAACAATCTATGGCAAATATTTCTCACAGCCTTACTGTCCATAGTTATTCTCCAAGCTTTATATAACTTGAAACATAATTAACTCCATTTCCTTTGTTAGCTTCCTGACACTGAAAAATTCATTAAATTGGGGTTTTATTGCAAATGACAGCATTTGCAATAAATGATAGCATATACATCAACTATGTGTTTATGCAATTAGATAAATTGATATAAATTAATATATTTATATTTAACATACATTTGTATTTAAAAAAAACAAAACAATAAAATTTGGACTTGCACCTTGATTTATTCAGGTTTTTCTCTCCTTTCTTCCATTCTAATGTGAGTATTAAACCAATAAAAAGTATATTTTAAGTAAAACTTCAATTTAACGGATCATTTGGATGGAAGGAATGGTTCATTAAATCCAAATGTCTATTAAAATCAAATTTAGTCAGTATGCATAAATTTGTACCTTTTGTGTAACCATAAAATTGCTATAAATGGAAACAATAATAGCAAAATCTCTATTTAAACGTCTGGGGCCTTCCAATGGATAGGATTGGCTTTGGAAAAAATTACAGCAGGTTTTATTTTCCAGTGTTTGGGATTAACTGTGCTAGCATATACAACTGTACTAAAATCTTCTTGTTCCATAATTTTAAAATTCTGAATAAATGTTAGATATAGATCAAAATATCTATATATTAATTTTAAAGGGTGGTTTGTTTGCTTTAAACTGGTCATTGAACATTAATCTAAGTTGCAATCATCTTTTTAGTTCTCTTCAAGTTCCCATGAAAACTTCTGTTTTGATAACATCATTGGCTTGATACAAGGATTAATGTACCAGTGTTGCAGCTTAACTATCGTTCCTGAGAATACCAAAAATTTGCAATTCAGCTGCTTGTTATAACTCATGGAGGAGATTACAGAAGTATTTTTAAATCTTAAAGTGCAGTCTTACATTGCTCTGTGGATTACAGTGTTTATCTATTTGAGTATATAAACACACATTGTTAAAGGAAAATCAATACATTTCTGCAATGTCTAGCAACCATGCACATTAGAACTCTAGCTTGCATTGAATATGTGCCATTGTAAAAAAGAATATTTTAAAAAAGTTAGGATATTGTCATTTAAAATTTCCTAATACAAAGCTTCTTTCAATTTCAGATAACCTATTTTACCTGATGGCAATTTTCTGTTTATCATCTATCTGCTGTACCTTTTAGAAGAGAAATTCCATGGAGTGACCCTGTAAGTTGCTCAGGTAGTGCACGAAATGTAAAATAATCTTGAATGATAAATGATGTATGATATATGAAATACATTCTGTCAATATATCTTGTCATTTGAGAAAGTATTTTTCATATAGACAATCAAGTACAGGAACTTGAACCCTTAAAAGCACACAGTTTGTCATAAATCTTCCACATAAAGTTGTTTAGATACATTCTGAGTTGCACTCTAACTGTATAGGTCCTATAAAGGTGCATAAAATAATCTGGGAAGATTTTTTTTTTCATTATGAGAGGGAATTATGCCAAATGCTTTGAAAGAGGTGATGGGTCTTTTTCTCAGAGGCCAGTAATGGACCTAACAGAATTGGACAATTTTTACAGAAGGGTTTGGTTTGCAGCTCCAGAAGGTCCTAAAGGAAGCAGATTATCTTGACCATTTTCAATCAGAATTCAGAGCTACTTATAGCCTTGAGATGACATTGATCATATTTGTCGATGACCTCAAAATGGAGATGGAACATCCATCCAAGCCCTTCTTGATCTCTCAGAGGCTTTTGATGTCATTTATCACAGAATCGTTTTAGATTGTCTCAAAAGATTGGGAGTGGGAGGCGCAGTATTACAGTAGTTCTCTTTCTTTCTCTAGAGCTGTTTCCAGTTGGTGAGGTTAGTGGTAAAAAGCTTGGAGCAAGGCCCATGCTTTGTAGAATTTATTCAGGTTCTACACTCTCCCGGGTTGAATGCTTTTCTATGCGTTAACATGAAACTACAGGGAGATAATCTGTTGACAGTGGGTGAGGTATTATCAGTAATGATATCCAGCTATGCATCAGTGTCCCAAGTCAACCGAGGTTCTTTATGGTTCTTTCCTTTTGGCTGAATACTATGATGGTCTGAATGGGGAAGAACAGTTTTTAGCTCAAGCCTAGAAAGACTGAGAGGCTGTGGGGTTTAAGGTTCCCTGGATCCAAAGACTTAGTGTGTGTGTGTGTGTGTGTGTGGGTTTAGGATATTATTTTTGCAAACTGTATTGCTGTTTTTGACTTTAATCCTCTGTTTACCACCTAGAGTCACTCCTATATATGGCAGATATATAAATTGTTTAAATAAGTTGTTCAGGATAGAATGTATGATGGTATGATTCATTCGCTGGCTGATGAAAACAATACAGATGGCAGTATGAAAGATGATCAATTATTTTTTCCATTTGCCCAATCTCTGTTTTAAATACTAATAAGGCCAACATAGAGCACCAATATGTTGTACAACATGTGACTTTAATGGAAGGTTTTCATGACTAATATATAATTCCATCTTGAGAATGGACAGAAAGTAAGATTGTCTTCATTTTCTTGTCTAAACTCAAGTACTGTATACCACTTAATGTATATTGGAAATTCCTTTGTTTTAACTGCATGATTTAACTTTAGTAACTTTTTGAATTTATTTATTTGTACCCCACTTTTATTACTTTCACAAAGAATTTGAGACTGCAAACATATCCAACACAGCTTCTACTTTCCCCACAACAATCCTATTAGGTGAGTTGGGCTGAGACAAAATAGCTGAGCCAAGGCCTTCATGCTTAAAGTGACTTAACCACTAGAGCAAACTGAGCATTCTTGGGCAGAGGAGGTTAAAAGAGGGAGATAGTATACAAGCATTATTTATTTATTAAATGTATATGACACTTGATTCCCAGTGACCCTGGATTGTTATTATGTATCTTGTAGCAACAGATAGATAAATAGATATATGTGTGTGTGGGTATGTATGTTTGAGGGAAGATATAACTGAAAAAGACAAAGTGGAATAAGGATCATAATAATGTTAAAACTAGTAATTCATAAAGTATTTTTGATAATATTACAGATGCCTGTAGCATTTATCACACTAAAAATATAAGAAAAATATCTTGTTCCAGCAGAACCTCTTGATAAACTATTCTTCAGCAGTTTTGAAGTGCACTCTCCTTTTTTTAGTTCTGTTGCTTAAGAATAACCATCTTTTGGTTGCGACAATGTGGGAGTTTGAAATAGTCTTTGTTGAACAATGCATTTCAAAGGTCTAATCTCTATCCATTGGCTGGTGGCTCATTGGTTCTATGTTGAGTACAAATTCATAGGAAAGAGGTTCCTGGTTTCTTGTATGAGAGCTCCTGAGATCCATCTTCTCAGAATGCTTGCTTCTGTGATACTGAGGAGGACATTCAGAGGGTCTGAGCTGATTCACAAGGCATAAATTACCTACAATTGAACATTTAAAAAGCCCAAAGGACTCATTGTATTCCTTAAAACCCTTTTTAAATTCCTAAAATTGTCCAATTTCCCCTTGTAAAAAACATTTTATGTGTCAAGATGGCTTAACTGAAGTGATATGAATATATATGTTTTAATCTTGGCACTTATATTAGAATTACTTTTTGCCAATAGGCAGTAACTAAAATGTGAGTAGTCACTCTATGAAAACCTTCTAGATTAACCTGCTGTTCATCCAGATGTTTGCAATTCTTCCCTCTTGTTGTAGTAAATGATCAACTGAGAGCTACATATGGTACCTCTTAACATAAGAGAATTATATATGATGAGAACATCAGAGTTCACCTATACTTTCTAGATACCACATTGTATGCCTTGCTTTTATTGTAGGGATATTCTTTAAAAATAATAGAATAGAACAGGCAATTCCCATTTTATATATTTACTTATATACCTTTTTTTTCCTCTAGAAAATTGAGACTATATGTGTGTGTGTGTGTGTGTGTGTGTGTGTGTGTATGTGTATGTGTATGTATATATACATACATACATACATACACACACACACATACCAATACCTATTCCAATACTGCTATAGATGATATAGATATATACTGTATGTCTCCCTTAATTTTTCCCTTCAACAATAATTGTGTCTGATAAAGTGGATAGAGGAAGATAAATAGACTCAATCATCCAGTGAGCTCTGGGCTGAATGGAGACTTGAAAATAAATCTTCCCAGTCAATGACCAACCTATTATTTATTTCATTGCACTGACTAGAAATTTGTGAAATCAAGGTGCTTCCACTACCATTAAGTTCTTGATTATATCATAGTTTCCATTTGTGTTCAAATGAATTGATCAATGGTCCCTTCCTTCTTAAATCAAAACAATTGGGGCATGCCAAGAAATTAAATGTGGAATTAAGGTATGATTTCCTGTACCCAATATAATCATATTTATTTTATGAAAACCAAGTTATTGCTTTTTGCACTGTGATTGGCTTTGCATTTTGTTTGCCTTTTTAAAAAACAGTTCATAGATAAACCACACAAACTCTTCATTAAATATTGGATTACTACATCTGGGCTGCATAAGTTCAGTTTGTCACATGGTGACAAAGAATGCAGAATATTCTAACTCTTTGATGCCATCTAGTAGTTGCCAGGATTGCTGCAACCCAAATACAATCATCCAAATTAAATGCCATTAAAAGCCAAATTAAATGGCTTTCTTTTGAGTTTGTGTATACTGTGATTAAATGTTTGTAGATGATATCCATGATCATTAGTTACTGTTTGGCAGAGGAGCAGGGGTGGGATTCAAAATTTTTAACAACTGGTTCTGTGGGCATGGCTTAGTTGGTGGGTGTGGCTTGGTGGTCATGTGACTGGGTGGATGTGTCTTGGTGGTCATGTTATTGGCTGGGCGTGGCCAACTCAGTATCACTCACATCGAAGCATGCATCTCCTCGCCTGGCCTGTCATGACTGTGGGGATGCTGCAACAGTCGTGAGTGGGAAAAATGGTCATAAGTCACTTTTCTAGTGCCATTGTCACTTTGAATGGTCACTCCACACAAGCAAAGTACCAGCAAAGGAGGGGAAAAATGCTCCAGAGAAGTTCCAGAGACAGGAAGTCTAGTCTTGCCAAGAATGTAATAAGGGTTAACAGAGAGGCAGTTTCTGTAAGCAACACCAGAATGTTTCCTTCCTGCCTTCCTTACAGGATTAGGCCAGTAATTTCTTCTAACAACTGGTTCTCCGAACTACTTAGAATGTTAACAACCGGTTCTAGCGAATTGGTGCGAACTGGTAGAATCCCACCCCTGCAACAACCAGCAACGTTTGTTTGCTTGCAATAAGGCGTAAGGGTCAGCTCCATCAGGTACACAGGTTACTTAATTGAAAGGCCATAATAATAAAATCTTGTGAGTCTGCTTGTTCTGTCTCTGACCCTTTCTTATACCATGTGAATTAGGAAGCAGTCTGTCTGAACTCTCCAGGCACAAGTAACCAGGCTAAAATTACCTTACTTTGGAAATGTTACGTAAAGATCCAATTCCCTGTTAAAAAAAAAAAGTCTTAATGCTGAGAAAGGTGAAAGAAAAAAGAAGAGATGACCAACAGCAAAGTGGATGGACTCAGTTTACAGTAGTGATCAGTGCACCGTTGGGAGACTTGAAAGACCTGCTTAGGGATAGATCACCATAAAGAAAATCTATCTATGTGGTCACTAGGAGTTGAAAATGACTTGTTAGCACATAATCAATCATCCAATCAATCAATCTGTCTGAACTACTCATACAGCTTTCTGTTTGTTTTGGATTTAAGCCATATTTTTCTGCTTTTCACTTTGGTAATGTATCTGAGTCATCTCTGTGGAAATCAACTTATTTCTTACAGTAAGTGAGAATTTGCTTCTTCTGAAATCATTATTGTTGGGGGCAGGGGTGGGATTCTGCCAGTTCTCACCTATTCACTAGAACTGTTGTTAACTATCTAAGCAGTTCGGAGAACCATTTGTTGGAAGAAATCTCCTTTTGGTTTTTCCCCCACTTTACAGGGCTAATCCTATAAGGAAGGCAGGAAGGAAACATTCTGGTGTTGTTTCTAGCGTAATCTTTATTGCCCTGCTTACAGAAACTTCCCCTATGTTAACCCTTACTACATTCTTGGCAGTACACCTAGACTTCCTATCTCCAGAGCTTCTGGGACTTGACTTTCTTAAAAAAGAAGGGTTGTTTTAAACATTTTACACTGCTATTGGGAGGAAATACTCCCCTGTTGGAGTTCTTCCAGCTGGGATCAGCCCTTTGAAGAATAGTTGAAAAATTAATAATTAAGGCAAAGCTGCCAGAAAGAAGCTTTTAATAACAAGGAATCAAGATGAGTGACATTCAGCAAGGCTTCTTGGCTAGCTAGAAAGATTGACATTCGAACGTGAGTTTACATACCCTTTCTGAGTTTTGGTCTAAAACTGGTTTTTGGTGAAGTTTAAATCTGTGCTTGGTGATGTTTAATCCTGTGTTTATTGATGGGGTAATTTTCCCTATTCAGCTTTATTTGGAAGGAAAAAAGATTAATCTCTGTTCCTGAAAAGAAACTGGGGTGAGAAATCTGGCTAGTTCCTGAGTCTATTTGTTCTGGTAATTGGTTTAACAAGCAACAGTTACTGTTGTGATTTAAATTTTTTCCTGCCTCGTGTTTTCTTTTTCTATCAGGGGAGGGAATCTTCCTTCACTGCTTTAGTAGTTCCTGGCACTGTCCTTTTGGGGTGTACTTCCAAGAGGCAGGATGCAAGCTTGGCACTGACTTTTTTTACTGCCTTTCTGGGGGGCATGTGATCTTTCCTTAAATCTGGATGATTTCCTTAGGATATCTTGTGAGGTGAGTGAGACCACCTGGTATCTTTAAGTGGTGCAGATGGATCTAAGGATTGCTTCTCCTGAGTGTGCTCTTTCTGGAGAGCTTAAATGACCTCTCTGCTAAAGGGTTTCACCTTATGAGCAAGAGTTGGCTGCTGACAATTATCATTGCATTTTAACTATTTTAATTCCTCAAGGTGCTCTGGCACCCTGCCTGATTTGTAACTATAGCTTGCAGGTATTTTTAATCTAATGATTAGTATTTAGGGCAGCTTTTTGCAAGCAAAGAAGCGTTTTGTATTTTTGTACAGGTAATCCTTGACTTACAACAGTTCATTTAGTGAACATTCAAAGTTACAATGGCACTGAAAAAAGTGACTTATGACCATTTTTCACACTTATGACTGTTTCAGCATCCCTACGGTCATGAGAGGCCAGGTGAGGAGAAGTGCCCCTTGACATGAGTAATGTTGAGTTGGCCACGCCCACCCAGTCACATGACCACCAAGCCACACCCATCAACTAAGCCACACCCACAGAACCAGTTGTTAAAAATTTTGAATCCCACCCCTGGTTTTGGGGGTATAGAAGAACTGGGTTTTAAATGTCTGCTCTAATGGGCCTACTCTTATTAAACCTGCTGCTAGAGAAAAAATGACAAATAAATTCTTGCTTTCTAGAATTGATGAGAAATATAATGTGTGTCCTATGGTAACTAGCCAGCTATCTCAACAACTCCTGCACCTTATTTCT